AAATGAAATGAAATGAAATGAAATGAAATGAAATGAAATGAAATGAAAAATGAAAGCTGGAGCCCCTACCCCAAAGCTGTAAGGCCAGAGGAGTCTTCGGGATTTCTTCATTGGAGACAGAACTGAGGCAACAAGCAGAAAAAAGAGAAACATTTATCTGGGGGCCTTTTATTGACCCAACAATATTCCAGGAACTGGATAAAGGTATTGAAAATGGGGAAAGCCCAGGAATAACAAGGGAGAGGGAGGTGCTTGCCTCCCTCTGATTATTAATCAAAGAACGTGAGATTTAAATGGGCAAATGTTTGCTTCTCCAAAATCTTCCTTTCTGAGCCCAGAGGTGGCTTAATTATTTTAGTCTTTGAGAGTAGAGAAGTTAAGAGTAGCTCTCGAAGTTTACAGCAGTAATTTATTAAGCACCTGTTAAGTGCAAGGGCCTGCACTAACTGTCTGGGCCTTGCAGTGGTGAACTGGAGAAGGTCCTCGACCTCAAGGAGCCTAGCCTCCAGGCTGGGACAAATCCACGGCTATCTACAAAACAAGGCACAGCGAGTCAACGGCCAAAATAAGGCACGACGGAGTTATTATCCCGGCTTTAGGGTCTCGAACGCCACCTCACTTGGGCTGAGTGACGACAATCAGGGGCGTGACTGAAGCCAGGCTAGCAAGCTCGGTAAACTGACTTTTCCAATAAATGACATGTCTAGACATGTTCCAGGGCTTTAAAATCTCTAGAGTCTATCTTGTTGTTTTTTTTTTTTAATCATTCGATTTTATTAAAGAATTGATAAGCCATGAGTTTTGATCACCTGCTGTATTGGCTTGATCACTGCCATCTTTTCAATCAGCAAAAGTAACAGAAAATGGCATAAGAGGTTGTGTGGGGGAAGCATCAGGAGGCAGCGTCCTATGGTTTGCAGTTAAGAGGTGTTTCCACAGCTTCTATTACTGTCAGAGCTTAGAAGTGTGGAAGCTAATAACACAGGCTTTTTCATAGGAAGCCTTCCCCTTTTTTGAGCCCCATAAGGCTGACCATTAGGGATGCCTTGGATTGGGAATAAGAAGCCTCACGGTCCTCCCTGGTGGAGGGAAAAGATAGGAGCATCACCAAAGACCTGCCCTCTGCCAGGTATCACCGGCCCCTTGCACCCTTGCTGGGTGTTGATTATTAGTCTACTCTTCCCATTTGACAGATGAGAAAAAGAAGAATGGAGAAGCTGAGTAACTTGCCGAAAGGCGCAGAGCTGGAATTAGAACCTAGATCTGTTTTGTCTCCCAGGCCTGCGTTCTTTCCACCTGACTGTGCTAAGTGAGTGCAAGCCGCTGTCAGATGTGCGGATCAGGAGTAGCCTTGAGGGAGGGAAATTAACCAAGCGTCTATAGTTCCATGCTTTACGTAGACACCCAGACCACAGTGGCTGCCAAATCTGGTACCCAAATCAGGGGATCGGCTTGCATCAGAAACTGAAACCCTACAATTTTCATTTACTAAAACACATGTTTCTGAATGTTATGTGTGCCTCTTCCAACAAGTGATGTAATTAAGTTGGTTTTAAAAATGTGCTACACCCCATGCATTTTGGTCTCCTTGTATTTCATAGGCACACAAAGGAAACTGATTGTCACAGGTGGTGCTTTTCAATATATAATTTATTCTCTGTGCTTCACGTCTGAGGTCTTCTGATTCAGGTCCAACCCCTGAGTCTGGGAGCACATGAGCTAGCTGACGGGAGGACCAAGGGCTCATGAATTTGGTTTGGAGTCCGAGGAAGCTTGCCTGGAATCTACTTTGGTCTAGCT